CAAGCTCATTCTTCTTCTTCTATGTGACGTGTCTCATCAGGACGTTGGCGATCATGGCTTTCCACACTTTCCTGTCCTTTGTAGCGCTTAATAAATTTTGTCTTTATGCTATCTCTCCTAAACCCAGTTCTGCCATCCATTTACTGAAGCTCATTCTTCTTCTTCTATGTGTCATGTCTTTTCAGGACGTTGGTGATTATGGATCTCCACAATTTCCTATCCTTTGTATCGCTTAATAAATTTTGTTTTTGTTATCTCTCCTAAACGTTGTTCCGCCATCCATTTACTCAACCTCATTCTTCTTCTTCCATGTGCCGTGTCCCTTCAGGACGTAGGCATTCATGGCTCCCCACAATTTCCTGTACTTTGCAGCTCTTAATAAATTTTGTCTTTTTGTTATCTCTCCTAGACCCTGTTCCGACAAACGTTTACTGGAGCTAGCTAGGTAGATTATACGTTATATTCCTCTGTCCCTCTTGCTTTCAATATGACATGTGAAGATTATATTTTCCAAGCCTCTTTTCCTCATTTTATGCCCCAGAAATTCTCTTCCCGATGTTATGTATGAGTGTCACTTTTGTTTCCATTTTTCTCTACAGCTTTGTCATTGCTCACATGCTTGGTCTATAGTATTCTCAGCATCCTTCTGTAGAATCACATTTCTGTTGCTTCAACTGGCTACATCTCTAAGGAGATTGTCCAGCATTCACTCCCATATAGGAGGACTGATATTACGTAAGAGGTCCAGTATTCTTTTCCTTGTTTCTAACGGAATTTTTCTGCTATACATTGAATAGCTTTTCGAAGGCACCTTCTACGGTGCCAATACGCCTTCGCATTTCACTGTCGTATTTTCCGTCCTCTGTTAAAATGTTTCCCAGATATTTAAATTTTTCTAATTATCTCCATTTTGTAACGATATCAGAAAGAGCAATGCAAATGTAGAAAGATGCCTAAACAATGTTTCTTAAATGCGTTTGGCAAATTACGCCAAAGGAAAATGTTGGAATTGCTAGGTAACCATGACAAATTTTGGAAAGATATTAGAACAATCCAGAAAGTATACTGGCAACAAATCGTCTGAATACGGATAGAAAATGAATTCAGTAAATATAAAAATATAGAAAGGGGCATAAGACAAGGATGTGTCTTCTCACCGGACTTATTTAACCTATACAGTGGGGCAATTCTGAGAGAGAAATCCTACCAGAATTCCTAACTGGCGGCCAAAATGTTGACATAAAATATGCAGAAAACATAGTGTCGATAGCAGACACAGAACGGAAACTACCAGAACTCCAATAGAAGGTAGTGAACGAAAGCAAGAAGAAAGGATTAAATAACATTTTCAGGAAGACAGAATACATGGTTGTTAGATATAAGATGAGTCCAAAGTGCGAATTTGTTGTGGTGTGATTTCACAGTAGAGGCTTGTATTTGTACTAAATCGGTCCGAAATAGTTCGACGTACAAAATGTTAGGAACTTGATATAATAGGTATTACGCAGAGTAATCTTGTTATGGTCGCTGACTACTTTCGTATTCGACTGTCGACTATTGTCGTCCGACATCGACTGACCCTCGTTTCTCTTACTACACCTACTTATATTAGGTGGGAGAGTCTATTAACTATAGAATCGGTGTGTTTCACCATAACAGAATTGCAAATCGGAGGTACCAAAATCAGTACAAAGATGTAAATATCTAAACGGAAAGTGTGACATTCAAATCGGAAGCCATATAGGATAGCCAAAGATGCCTTCCAAAAGTTAAGCAAAATACTAAGAAAAACTTCGGTAGGATTAAGGAAAAGAGTGCTAAACTGTTATAAATCTGTCCTCCTGTATGACACTGAGTGCTGGACGATATTTTCAAATATGAAGAGACTTGAAACAACAGAAATGCAGATCTACAGAAGGATGCCGTGGATATGGACCTAACATGTGAGCAACAACGAAGTTTTGGAGAAAATGGAAAACAAAAAGGAAACTTATACTTAGCATCAGGAAGAAACAGTTGAAATGTCTAGGGCACACATTGAAGTTTCTAGCAAAAGAAATAGTCCAACTGCCAACCGTAGGCCGATTAGTTTCAGGGTTTTCATATTTGCTCGTCAGCAGTTTACGTTTGTTTTCTGCCTAAAGTTAATGCAACAGAAAGGGAAAATATTTTTAAAAAAATTTCCTCTCGGTCTCTGTTCTAATCGACGTTTCGAAGTTGTTCCATTCAGAGTCAACATAATGTCTAACAAAAGGTCCTGCTTGCAAAAGCTAGCAACAAATGTCTGTAAATGATACGGTTAGTGGGCTTTATTTAAATTCGCCAAGCACCACACTTCCTGCTCTAGATTGTGTATTTTTTTTTTTACTATTGTTCACCCAATACAAAGCCCAGAAGCCACTCAAGGTAGAAGATTACTAAATAGGGTTGGGTTAGGCTGTAGAAAGAGGGAGTAAGGGCTGCATATTATGAGGATATGTAGGATAGATAAAGGTTGAGTTTAAGAGATTACGATCATAGAAGCATCCGCTCGGGAGTCTGTTCAACAATGCACCATTTCTGGGTAAGAATTTGTTTCAATGGGAATTCCTTCTCACCAATGGAATCTGAAGGGATTGAAAATGAGTCGATACAGTGTATGTGACAGGGTGGTTCCTGGCTGTGAAGGTCTGGACAGGCGGAACCAAGGAAAGTGCTTCGTTCGAACATCTGTCAAGAAATGAGCGATAGACTAGGGGGACGCTAGTAACATTACAAAAGGGCTGTAGGGTGCAAAAGATTTCATCACCCACAAGGCCGCGCAAATCTTTTTAACTCTGTCGAGGCTGGAAGTATCGATATAGACCGAAATTATTAAAATCGCCTTTAAAACTTATAAAATATTGGTTTGATGATAGGGTTTGTCGTGAAAACTGACAGTAATACCTGGAATCTTGTAAACACCGGAGTTTTAAACGTTTTAATAACCTTTTTTAATAACATCGGTTTCCATCGAACTTTGGAGTAACTCTAGTTTTGATAGTGAGCACTTTTAAAAAGAACGTTAATTTGTATCTCTTATTACTAATAGGTATATATATATATATATATATATATATATATATATATATATATATATATATATGTACGTTTTACCAGTTTGTTACTGGAAGGGATAATTCTGAGGAGGATATAAGTCTAGGGAGAACTCTCTCTCTCTCTCTCTATATATATATATATATATATATATATATGTGTGTGTGTGTGTGTGCGTGAAAAATTTTCTCAGAGTTAACCTGTAGAAAAATCCAAATATTATATTAATATTTATATATTATTATTAGGTTGGTACAAAAATAATGACGTAATAATGTCGTTTTTGACGTTAAAACATACGTCAAAAAAACGACATTATTATCGTCATTATTTTTGCACCAACCTAATAAATTAACCAAATATTAATCTACGCCCAGGTTATCAATTGTAGCGTAATTTTTAGTAGATATTCCTATTTGATTAGACGCTCCGTTTAGTTATTAAACAGTATATTTATTTATTTTCGTCTATCAGCATAAATATTCAAGAAATCTTATTAAGGAAAACTATGCGCTCCGCATAGGATTCTAACCTGCGTTCCCCTGATCAAAAGGAAACGTCGTTAGATCCGACGTGCTTTAATCGTATCGGCCACAACGGCGGGACAGAGACTTAAAGTGAAATCCTTCTTTCATAGACACTCGAAATTTCATATCTGCTCAGTTTCATATCTAAACGCAAACAAAGCAATTTCTAAAAAAAAAAAATTGTAATAGATTTTTTTATTTATTGATCCAACAGATTTGATCACTTTAAACGTTATTTTCGGCTGCAAACCATTACACGATTCATTAAAAATTTAATTTTTTTTTCTATTCGGATATGGGTCATGCCACCAATCCTTTGTTAAGCCAGTCGGCCTTATAACACTCAGACCACAGCTCCATAATGATCCATTTTAACCAACATGAAAACTAAGTTCGATATGAAACATACTCATCGAAAACATAAAGTGCAGTTCTCTGACGGTAAAAAAAAAGTCTAAAAATAATAGCAGGCTACAGCATAAAAAAACAAAACTCAATCCTTGACAATATCAACTACATTAAAATTATGTCAACCTTTCAACATTTTAAGCAACATTTGAAAGAGTACAGTCAAAATCCTTGAAAAAGGTAATAGATGCAATCGCTCGGAACGAGCAATAATTTTGACAATCTCTGCATACGCTAGGACCCACACCCTAAAATACAATAAATATATATATATATATATATATATATATAACTTACATCCTACCAGACATCAGTATGCGTTACTCCTTAGCGAGATCATATCTATTATTTGACTGAAGAATCCCTCGATGGCGTCATTTGAACAATGGAAATCTTTTCGGATCGTTTACTTCCGTTGAAGCTAATAATAATTAAAAAAAAAAACAAAAAAAAAAACAATATTTTTTATGAGACTCTATAAATATTATCCCAAAGAATCCTTTTTCTTTTGTTATGGTTCAAGGCTCTCTCTGATTATTTTCTATTTGTGGCCCAACCCATAAGTTTAGGGGTCTTGAGATTTCCTTGTAGATTCAGCTGTTCAAAAACTTTAGAGGGAGAGAGAGAGAGAGAGAGAGAGAGAGAGAGAGAGAGAGAGAGAGAAACAAAAAAAAACAATGTTTTTGTTGCCAAAGACTTGCTTGCTTAGGTGGTGCCTGTTTTTGAAAATGAAAAACAAAGTCACAAACACAATATATATATATATATATATATATATATATATATATATATATATATATATACGATAGATAAAGTTTGCTATTTTCATATTACTAATTCCAGTGGGTGAAGCACTTATGACGAATTCAGCTGTCAGACGAAACACGGCACAGTTTGATATAAGGTCCTTTTTTTTTTCTTCACAAATTTGAAGCAAGTTATGAAATTCTTTAAATCACTGTTACCGTAAGCAAAACAAAATATGTGAAATCCGGTTCCCGTAGGATCACCGAAGTTAAGCAACGTCGAACCTGGTCAGTAACTTGATGGATGACCGCTTGGGAATACCAGGTGCTGTAAGCATGAATGGGCGATTGGTTTAATGGATAACGCCTAGGAATTGAAAATCATGGAGCCGAGTTATAATTCTTGTTGAGTCCATTATATTCACTTACGGGCAAATATGCTTGCGACAGATATGAATCCACCGCTTCTCTTCCCCAGCTCGTCCTGGGCATGACGATAAACTACATCCACGTCCTGGGTAAAGCGATAAACTACATCCACGTCCTGGGTAAAACGATAAACTACATCCACGTCCTGGGTAAGACGAAAAACTACGTCCAACTCCAAGGCCCCTGATCAGGAAGTTTTGAGGAGCATGGAACCACCTCTTAATTGCTGGTGTTCCCATGTCCACCCTGACCCGGGGTGGTAGCACCTGTTAGGGTCCCAGCTATGGGAAAATAGTTACTGAGGTAAAAAGCATTATAAAGGTGTTAAAAAGTGTATAAATAGGTTTTAATACCAGAAATACTTTGTAAAAAATTTTTTTGAAGAAAAATAATAAAGTAAACTGGAAATAAAAAAAATACGAAAATTATAACAGATGCAGTCAAAGTAAAATAAATGTAATCAAAATAACTTTAAAAAAAAAAAATCTTTGCAGTCTTTGAAAAAAATACGAGTTGTAGTGTACACGAGACTTAATCGCTCGCTTTATTTGACTAATTCAGCTTTAGGGCTGAAAACGTCTATTTTATTATATTGGATGGTTACATACGAGAGGGGAGATGGGATGTGCTTATTTTATTACCACAATGAGGAAAAACATTAGATGGCGACTCTGAATAAGGGAAGAATTGGGATAGATAATTTAATAGTAGGAGGAAGATTTGGGTTCATGCTTTTCCAAGGTGAATTCGAGCAAAAATGAAGAAAACACTCAAGTAAAATTTAAACTCAGCTTGATGCTTCGATTATCAATGTCAATAACCATTATGCCATCTGTATTTCTAGATTTAAACCATGAATCCTTAAACAGGAAGCACTTCGCTACCCAAGGGAGGAATTTGAGTCAGAGGAGGCACTACTAAATTTGGATAAAAATTTACTCTTTTTATTAATTTTTTTTTTACTTGCTTTTAATTGTGTTGTAAGTGTTTAATTTTTTCTTTTCTTATTCTTTAACCCTTTCATCTTTAAGCCTAAGTTTTTCCATTTTATTTCCCAGTTTAATTTTTAGTTTTTTATACGCTAGATTTGTTTGTCGAATTTATTTTTATTTTTATTTTGGCCATTTTGTTTTCTTTGAAATGTTTTTTACAGTCTTACTTGTTAAATATTTTGCATTGATTTTGTTTTTATTTGTTTAATTTAAAAAAAAAAAACAACTCCATTTGCGTTGTTTTATTGTTTATGTCCTTGAGGAAAATTCCTTTTTTTTTTTCACTCGTTGAACTTTTTTGTATTTTCATTCGTCTGCTTGTAAACCGACTTTTTGTCTTTCGACTTTAGTTTTTCATTGTTACTATACATTAAGCTATTTTTATTTTTATTTTCCCCCACCCTTTGTAGAAATATTTTAATTTTTGTCTTATTTACTTTTTACTATTTCTTTTTTTCGTATTGTCAATTATTTATTTTTTTTAAGAATCCCTAGTTTTGCCGATAAGAAAAAAAGTAACAATCTGTAAAAAAGAAAATGGCCGACAGAAGTCGGTTAGTTAAGAAGAATCCGTTTGGTCAAAAAAAGACACCACCTGATAAAAAAAAAACAAAAAAACAAAAACAGAAGACATTAACAGCGACGATCAAAAGAAAAATGAACCAAATATGGTGGCCTCAAATAGCCTAAATTCCGAAAACGGAAAAAGTAACTCGACCGAAGACGAGTCGAATAAGAATGTGAAGGACAGTAACATAGACAACAACAAAAGCAACAAAGATAATGTAGTGGCCGAGTAATCGCGCTCCTGCTGGAATCCTCCACCCCGAAGTCCATAATCAACATAATCACCGATTTCCTGCTGAGAGTTAAATGTTACGAACATCTTATCAAAGAAGATGGGCTCTTGGTAGACTCAAGGAATTACATAGGATTGAGAAAAGAATTGTGTCAGTCTTTATAGTCGACAAGCGTTCGCACAAAATTTATCGCTCCACAAAAGACACCGTGACAAAATCCTTGACGTCCTTGGGGGTTAAACCCCAATGAGTGATCAAGGCCTGAGTTTATTTTATGTGGAACGTACTGTTAACCCCACCTGCCGACTGTGTGGATCCTTTCAATCGAGTTCTCATCACAAAAGACCTCATAATCGGCATGGTATATAAGGGAAGATGAAGGACCCTTATCAGTATACGAGGTTCCTTCTCATATCTTAGGAGGGCACTTTTTATCTTGTCCGGTATGGTCAGATACTCTACCTTCGACGACTTAAACGGGGGGGGGGGAATAATGCTGGATCGAAAAACCTTCATCTCCGTCCCCAATTATCTGGATAGAGAGGGCCATAAAATGCCGGTCATTGTGATCGGCCGTAAATCAACCTGATGAAACTGTGGAGAAACTGACTACTTCTCTTCTTCCTGCTCAGAAAAGAAGGCGTCTGAAGTTCTGACCCCCGCCGACCCAAATCCCCCTCTGGTCGAGTCATTTTCGTCTCGCCTATGATGGGCATGCCAACGATTAGGACTGGTGTGGTAAAACCCCCGGTTGGGTCCAATGCACAGCTCCATTCCTCGAAAATCCTTTGCAAGCCGCTTGTGCGGCCACGGTGAAGGAAAAGTGGAAATGGCTGGTCGTTGGAAAGACCATAGAGAAGCTCCAGACAGTGGGATCTCAGTCCCAGCAAGCCCCCCCCCCTCGAGTAAAGAGACGTACAGTCCCATTTCAACTACCAGTTCCAAGAGCGATGTTCTGGCCAGCCACGCAGAAACACTCAAGAATAAACCTCTCAAGTACGAGACCGGTTTTAGCGAAATTAAGTGTCTAAATAATAAAAATCTATTAAACAATAGACATGAGTTAACGGGTTTTTGCCGACATTATCAAATTTTTGCATTGAATAATTAGCATAATAACAAACAAACAGTAAAATAAATTTTATAATCGATAGCCCTAATAAATAGTTTAAATACCCTACAAAAAAAGATAACCCTTTATGAAGTCGTCAAAAAACAAATGTTACGGCAGTTTTTTATATACACAAAACCCTTTCAGAAAGAAATAAAATAAAATAAAAATAAATCTCCATAGACACGTAAACCAGACTAGGCGAAATCATCTTCCGTTTTAAATTTAGACGCCACAACCTTACCCTGACTTGACATCTATGAATGTAACTCTATACTGATACAAATTATTAACACCCTACACCCCTTCCTATTTAAACAATCGCTCTAGCCGTTACCATAGAAATTTTGATTTCAATAATGAATATGCTATTAAAACACGTAAATTTCAGAAATAAGTTATTCCCAAAAAAATTTTGCTTGAAGATGGAACAGAGCTTACTTTAATTCAATTTAATTCAAATAATTATATTGAAGTTTTCGGCTCTTGTTTTGAAACATGAGACCTCTTATGTAGCGTGTTGGAATCATATTTTTAAATAAATAATTATATATATATATATATATATATTATGAAATGGACAAAGTCCGACATTTTAAGATATTTCTATGACAATTTCTCGGACATTCAGGCCGGTAAATGTTGTCAATACTGTTTATTATAAACAGAGCATTTACTAAAATATTTGTATCTATAAAAAAAGAATGTATAAACATAAAAATGTCTTCATATATATATATATATATATATATATATATATATATATATATATATATATATCGCACGATACTAACAGGGTATGCGATATTTATTACATATGAATAATAATAGTTTTATTCATCTTGTATCTCGTGACTGGGGTTCCTGAGGGTTGGCAAACTCCTCTTAACAATTTGACCTTCAAGTGTTAAGATGCAGTATGATTTTTTCGGACAATTTTCAGGGAGAAAATGCGTATTAGTATATTGATTTTTTTCTAATAATTCGATAGATTTTATCAGTTTAAGATATTTTAAGTGGATACTGATATTTTATTACACTCTTCATTAATTAAACAGTGTATTGATCGAAAAGTATATTTATTAAACAGTGTATTGATCGAAAAGTATTCAGAATATAATTTCGGTAATTTCCCTTATGAGATAACACTTGATATCAGATGACATATTCTCCAAAAAGTATGATTTAAACTACTTATTTTGCATAACTTATAAAATATTTATTCGACATTATTTACGGTTTACTAGTTAATCAATTTATTCGGCACCAGAAAAAGCTTAACAAAAGGCATTCCCCCTCTCTGTTCTATTGAATAAAACACGTTTAAACAAATGATTACGACCTAATTAAATTAAGATTAATAACTCTCTGTTTCTCTTTCTCCCTCTCTCTCTTTCTCTCTCTAGAAGAATAGTGCTGCCCTGGGTCAACAGGGTGGCTGCTGGAAGACCCTTTGTCAATCAAAAGGACTTTACAACATGCCACACAAGCAGGAGAACCCAGTCATGGCTACCAGAAAATTTCTGCGACTACATCATCCCTTACATCCGTAATCCCCTTGATTATTATATGTGGGAAGTAGTTGAGCTAGGGACCAAGAAAATTCCTTGTAATACCAAAGATGAACTAAAGGCAAGGATTATGGCAGTATTCACTAACTTAAACAAGGAAACCGTTCAGAAGAGACGCAAGAGATTCCAAAGTCGTTTGGAGGCTGTGGTTGAAGCCAATGGGCGATTTTATTGAAGAAATTTACTCTTTAGTATTTTAAGACATTTTTGTGTAATTTTGAGTAATATAACCGTTAAATGGGATATAAGTGTAATATTTTTGTGTAATTTCGAAGACAATTTATCCATCGCACCCTATATATATATATATATATATATATATATATATATATATATATATATATATACAGTGTAACCCGGATATAAGAGAGTTGTCGGGATCGGAGAAGAAGTCTCTTATATCCGGGTTTCTCTTATATCCGGGTTTGGTCT